AAAATCTAATAAAGCGAGGGTACAATCTAAAAGAATGCAACATAAATTTTTTAAACTTGAGCTTCTGAGAGTGTTTTATATAAAATTATCAAAGGTGCGAGTGTGGAACTTGTCAACCAATGCCGACAACTCATGAAAGTGTTTGTTGTACAGAAATCGGGCAATTGTGGCAAAAAGTAGAGTAGCAAGGGCCTGAAACCCAGATAAGTTGTATCACTGAGCATCCAGGTTTTCAGTCAATTTGCCTTGATTTCTGGGTGCTGGAGACGGCCAATTGCGCGTACAGGCAGCAGCAAGGCACAGATAATCACACCGGAAACGAGTAAGCTAAATGTTTTCTGTTTCATCTGTTTTGTTACATTTTGAGATCGATTTGCTTGGGATCAGAGGAGTCAGTGTCTTTTATGGGCTCAGCGCTGGCTCCCGAACAACTGGCTTCCCCATAATCTTTCATTAGATGAGAAAAAAGATGTTTTTAGAGAACCAATAAAGCTATCGTTGTTTAATTAACGAAACGTTTTCATGTAAATCGATTTTGTACTGTCTCCGTTGACCTCTAACTTTTGAAGAGCTCAACTTCTTTCTGAGTTCGGTCGGCCACTTCCGAATCCTCGTCGTCTACCGACTGTATGGGTCGTTTTTATACTTCCGAATAATTTGCTTCTTTCGTCGAGCCGACGAAATCGGCTATTTTCACTTGTACAAATTTAACAAATTGTCGCTTCAAATTTGCGTCATTTGGAAATATTTGCATTGTATGCCCAGTTTTGTTTAAATCAGTACAAAACTGGACGACACAACGCTTTACCATTACGAAAAAATTGAATATATTGAAGCAAACTGTAAGTAAAAAAATCATGACGACACCGGCGAACTCACGCGATTATAAAACAAGACTTTGTAGGGTCCACCCGTGACGTCACAGGAAAGATGGCGCCATTCAAGATGGCGAATGTTTCGAATTTGGAAGAGCTTTTACAAAGTGAAAATGGACTTTTGAGAAAAAACGAATGGTACCTTTGGTGTACTTGATATATTTACTAAACATCTATGTGAAAAGAAAATGAACGTTTTTTGGGTTTACATGCCCTTTAAGATCACGTAATCTTCTGTTTTGGGAGCATTCAGCAAAATAATCGCATATATTGGTATTGATCAGTCAGTTAGGGAATAAAAGTTTCGATCATCTTTGCTAAAAATGATCTTTGGCCTGTAAAAAGGTATTTTGTGTGAATATGAAAACTTCAAATTTGCATATTCGTGAAGTTTATTATGTTGCAAAAAATTTTGTAGTGTCGAGTTTCCATATCCAAAATATTTGTGTTAACCCTTTAATAGGCATCTTTGTTTACATGTGAAAAGTAGACAAATTGAATATTTATGCATAAAGGCAAGTTTTAAGATCACGTAATCTTCTGTTTTGGGAGCATTCAGCAAAATAATCGCATATATTGGTACTGATCAGTCAGTTAGGGAATAAAAGTTTCGATCATCTTTGCTAAAAATGATCTTTGGCCTGTAAAACTGGTATTTTGTGTGAATATGAAAACTTCAAATTTGCATATTCGTGAAGTTTATTATGTTGCAAAAACTTTGTAGTGTCGAGTTTCCAAATCCGTTTAACTTCGATGATTCTTATTTCTTGTGTGTTCCATTTTTCGTGATAAAGGACATCGTACTACGTTGATTGCCCGAGCCAGGTATGGAAGTCCCTTTCGACCAGAAAATAAATGTTGTATACCTCGACGAAAGTCGCAAAACTCCTGTGCATCGTGCTGTTCTGGATGGTAAGCACGAACAGGTACAAGAAAAAGTACGAGCCGCCTCTGGGCTGGATGACCAACATGAACAAGAAAGGACCCCACTGCATGATGCGACCAAACACGGACACAGGTACCTTTGCCTGGTTTATCTCAAAGAGATTTAGGATTGAGTGTCATAAACTGAAACGTATGATTCCGAACAAATACCACAAATGGTGAAGCCAAACACACTTTTCGTCCCCTTCGATTCTGATCAGCGAATATAATACTAACTGTAAAATCTACAGGTTGCAATGGATGCGTAGTTATTAATAAGAGGGTCTTGACTGGGTAAAAGCTTTTACGGCTAACGCTTAGAATTTTGGCCAATATATAGCTAACGGTTAATATCTCTCCATTGTGGTCACCATATATTTTTTTACTGTTAACTTTTTCAAATTGAAATTTTTATTCTTTACGGCCAATTTCATTTGGTTGATTGGCGGTCAATGGTTACCCCCATTCAATGGGGGTAACCATTTTATAAATAGGGTCTCAGTGAGACCCTGTTTATAAAATCAAACTGTAGAATTCTTAAAAAGCTTTAAATTTAGCGATTTTGAAAGAATGAATAATTAAAAAAGGGAAGTATAAGAATTGACACCAACTGAAGCAAATAGCTTTCAGTTTTATGAGAAACGGCGGCCAAAGGGTTGACGCGCTGGGTTCTATCCTTAGCCTGGTTGCTGTATTGTGTTCCAGTACAAGACACTTACATCTCTCACAGCGCCTTTCTCCAACCAAAGTTATGTATGGGTACCGTTGAACTGTCAGAGAAACCTGACAAAACGTTATAGGGGTCAAGGGGGAAGGGGGTAGCCCGGGATGGGCTATCATACCCTACTGGGGGTATAACCAATACTTGTGGTTGCTCTATTCTACGACTGCCACAATAAGTTTCGACTCTCTAAGCACTAAACATGAGAGCAGATTTTACCTTAATATTCTAAAGGGATAACTAATGTTACAAGTTCCCTTTTTTCACGAGGACTTGAATTTTAAACCATTAGTCTGTAATCCAGCATTTCAACTGTTCGGTTGCGTTGCCTCCTGGAAAGATGATTATAAGATTAAACATTGAACTCAAACAAAGTGTAGATGTTTGAGTTTTCGTTTTCTACATGCAGGAAAGTTTGCCACACTCTGTTACAACATGGCGCTAACTCTTCTATTAAGGACAGAGAACACTGGACACCCCTAATGAGTGCATCAGACCTGGGAAAGGAACAGTTGTGCCAAGATATACTCACTGTTAATCCTGAGACTGATGACGTGAACGTGGATGGAGAAACAGCATTGCATATTGCGTGTAGGAGAGGATATGTTGGTGTTGTCAACCTGCTAATGGATAACGGGGCAAGTTTGAATGTTTGTAACAAAGATGGTGTAACGTGTTTTGAGACAGCCGCCAAGGCAAGAAAGAGCGAAGTTGTGTTTGCAATGATAAAGCATAAAAGGTATGAACGGTTACCCCAGACAGAGCTGTTATCTACCAGTTAAACTCAAAGTTTTAATGGCAGGAAGTGAGAGACTCACATGACAGCCGAAAAGTAAGAGTATAGAAGAGCATTACGAAATTTAGGCAGGCTAGGCGATGAAACAACGGTCTCTTCTTTGTTTTGGCGTTTTTCCTTGCTTCTAAGATAGCTAAAAATGGTAAAATAAATTTTCAGAACCAAGATGGAACTTAGCTTTAGTGCCATTCTTTCCTCTGTTTTCTTATATCAATGGAAATTCTCGACTCTTTCTCAAAAAGCAGTCGTGATCATTTTTCTGACACCTAAGGTTACCTCAGCAGAACTAAAGCCTCTCAGAAACACCCTTATGTTTAACCTTATGTAAGCTTCACCCAAAACCAAGTTCGGTTCTCCCTTTTCTCAATCGAATTGCCGAGCTTTAATAAAAATCTCAGATTAATACCACCCAGGATCTCCTGCACTTTGTTGTAACTAGAGATTTTTTGATACGTTTTGTTAGGGAAACACACGAAAAGTGTTTTAGTGTCCATTCATTAATAATTAGTATTTTAGGATAAACCTCTTCATGAGCCATCTTGAGCTTCCTTTCTTGGACAACCGAAAGAAAATCTGTTTAGGTTAAGGCACAATTTCAAGATTTGTTAGACTTAGGGGTCACATGATTGATTGAGTTTGGTCGGCCGGACCGGGAAATATTTGACTCTGACTCTGTTTTATTGCTTCTGAACAGATGGATGGAAATAATGGAACACAAGGATAAGAACGGCCTTACCCCCATGAAGCTTCTCATAAAACACTTCCCAGAGAGTGCACAGCTGGTCATGGATTACTGCATTGATCGATCAGGGACAGAAAGCTCCGATGATCCAAATTTTACCATTACTTGCAACCTCCGTTTCCTAGACCCCAGTCCTACTCACACCACTTGCCTGAGAGAAAGCCGTTTCTTTGGACCGAGCACCATGGTGAAACACGAACGTAGAGAATTACTCGAACATCCTTTGACACAGGTCTTGCTGAATAAGAAATGGTCTTCTTTCGGGCGCTTGGTGTTCTACTTTAACTTTATGTTCTATTTTGTCTTTGTTGTCATGTTTACAGCTTTCTTAATCCGATTCATGCAAAACAGTGATAAAGGATCGGGAGATTTTTTTATGTATTCAATAGTATTTTTACTTATATTTGTCCAGTTCACTAAGGAAGTTATTGCAATACTTGTCCAGAGGTTTCGTTATTTCACCACTTTAAGCAATCTCACTGAATGGATACTCTACAGTACGACGCTTTCATTCATAACGTTACTTCTCATTGTCGATCTGATATTTTCGTTAGTCCCCCTTGAGAAGCGTCATGATCTTTACCCACAACTTATCTGGGTGTTGGGTGCCATTTCGATTTTCCTTTGCTATGCGAATCTAGTCTTGGTTCTTCGTCGGTTGAGTCTGGTTGGAATCTATGTCACCATGTTTATAGAAATCACTAAGTCGGTTTTAAAAGTACTTATGATCTTCTTTGTCTTGTTCTTTGGGTTCTCCATGGTGTTCTACGTCCTCTTTAAATCAGAGGTAAGATGAAATGAGAGATAAATGTGTATGTGAGTAAATTTGCTTCTGTTTGTGATTTATGTGAGTTTTTTCCCTTTTTTTGATCATGCTCGTAATTTAAAACCGACAGTAAAAATATTCCTCATCCTGTACCTTTTCGCGCCGTTTATTGACTCTATCAATAACAACAAGCTTGAAATATTTGGTTACAGTAATTAATTAAAATGTCACCGGATTTCGGGCTCAATATGGGTGCAGCAAATGCCTAATCGTACCTTTTCAGTGCACTTTGACGACATATAAAGCTCGCTCGGTCTCTTCAAGGGTATCTTGAAATCATGACTCAACTAAAATCGCCTCATCTTCCAACGGAACGCGCCAAAAAGGTACGATTAAGGATGACATAACGTTATAGTAAACGAAATATACAGTAATAATAAACGATTAACAAAAGTCCATTAAATTGTCCGGGTTTGCCATAGGGATCGATTCCCTTCAGTAATACGCTTATGGAAAAGGAATGAGCATTGGCTTAAGAGCTAAGAGTCTCTCGTATTTCCTCCACAGAAGGTGGTATTTAAGCATCTTGGATTTGCTTTACTGAAGGTGGCAGTGATGACAATTGGAGAGGTTGACTTTGAAGGCAGATTCATGCATTCCCAGAATATCACAAACGAGCCGACGTCTTCTCAGACAGCTTCTTTCGTTTTCCTCGGCTTATTCTTGATTTTAATGACAATTGTACTGATGAACCTCCTGGTATGCATTAAGATAACAAACTTATTTGTAACTTTTAATACTACTAGTAGGATGTACAAGTATAAATGAAGCAGCGTTCTATCATAAACGCAGTAGTCTTATTGGCTTCACCACTCATTATCTATTTGACATATGGATCCCATCTTAATATGTGTCTATTCAGTGTGATATATTGACCATTTAACCCCTAAAAGTGACGAGCATCTAATTTCTCCTTACAATATCCCCACTGAATTACATATTAATGTCATGAGAGTAAAGGAAATAATCACCAACTAACGAAACTCTTGATTGTTAGACAAATTCTCCTTTTCAGCACCTTAGTAAATGTACAGAGAACAGTATGGAGAATATGAATACTAATGTCAGAGTGTAGAGGGTTAAGCTGAATTATGCGCGCATTTTGTCTGCTTCTTACTTACGATGTATCGGTAGATATACATCCATAGATGACATCACCATTGACAATTGTTTTCTTTATCGTATAAAACATACAGATTCCATGTAGGCATGGGTATGTTCAGTAACAGATCACAAAAGACCTCAAAATAAAGAAACAACGTCAGTGACACGCTCGGCTGCGCCTCATGAGCCACTTTTTTGTCCTTACCACATTTTGACCTCATCTGTGATCTGTTACTGAGCAGACGCTCGGCAACATAGAACCTTCCTGTGGAATACACCACAAATAACGTCAATTGTAGTTGAAACAAAAAATTGGAACACGGGACGGAACCGAGTGTGCCACCGACTCAAAATTCGTATCATCAAGACGCTTCCATGTAAGAAATCAAACTTAGTGCTACAATTTGTAGGACGTTGATCACGGTTACATGTTCACCTACAGGTGGGTCTTGCCGTGGGTGATATCGACGCGATCCGCCGCAATGCTGCGTTTAAAAGAATGGCTATGCAGGTCATGTATATCGCCAAGGTCGAAAACAGCTTCCCGAGGTGCATCTCGCGGCGTTTTCGCCATCCAGAAGTAACTTTGCAGCCAAATCGTCGAACTCTGAGGAAAAGGTATGCCGTCAGTACCATTCTGATTAAAAGTCACTCGTTAATCTCAAAATGTCAGAAAAATTCTAAAAAGCGACTTTACAACGACTCTGTCAATGTCTACTTCTCTTTAATATCTTTACCATACATTATCCAGTCAACAGTCAACGAGAAAACTGAGCAGTTAGAAATTATTATTTTGATCTAACACTACATTCTCGTCACTGATTGACAGGAAAATTTATAGCAACTTGAGGGGAGAAGTAACAATCACATCTTGGGAGTCAAATTAAGGGTTAAAATGTTCACTTCACAAAATTATTTCTTTGTCTTCGATATCCAGGTTGATGCTTCTTCTTGGAATGAAGACATCTTCGGGCTTGGACTTTACTCCTCGCGCCAAAGAAGAACCGTTCTCCGGTGTAGTTTTGGATTATACTGAGATTAAGAAAAAGCTTGACCTTACTGAGAAACGCGTCGAAACATTGGTTGATACGATGGAGGCGCAAAACGCTCTGCTCAGAAAATTAGTAAAAAAGATTGATCCTGGAACCAAGATGGACGAGGAGAGCATGGAAATGGAAGGACCGACTGTGGAACACGAGCATGGGAGCACATCAGCTTCAGGAGGGGAGTGGATCCTTGACGACCAGCAGCCACATGAGATTAAAATACAACCACACTTGTACAAATGTGGAAAGATTACTAACGTTTAGTTATATTAAGCAGCAAAATACTATCCTATACTTGTAAGAGTGTCAGGTGTGAACACAGCGTTTTCAATCACGCGGAGAGCGGCTATGCAGATGTATAGAAAGAAGGAAAGAGTTATCTGCAACGTGGGTGCGAGTGTGCGTTGGTTTATCCAAATAAGAATGAGCATGGTGAGTTCTTATGACTGGTGACCAGTCCTACCCA